CTTTAATGAGCGGCAACGACGACGATGTTTTTGTTCTTTTCAAGGCTCTTCACGGCATTCCCCCCTTTCCTCTTCACGAAGCTTGTTCGCCTGTGTTCTCTTCGTCAGTGACGGACGCAGCGGTCTGTTGCGTTTCAGTCGGTGGTTTCAGAGTGTGGATTTCCAGTAGCTGCCGGGGAAAAAGTCTGTTTCTCCTCAGCGTCTCTGTGGCTGCGGTGAGGTCCTTTGATCAGTGCTGTCTTTTTTTTTTCCTGCATTCGTGAGCCCCTCTGAAGGAGAGGTTTCTTATCTGTTTGCCAGCCACGATGTCCCCTCTGTCAGTCAGTTTCTCCCTCCCTGCGGTGCTCTCTCTCGCTCTCTCTTTTCTCCCCCTGCTGTATTTTTTTTTGGGCGTGTGGTCCTGCTCTGTGTGTTACTGCGATGGCTAGTTCAATTCTAGTAGCTGCACTGCTGATCGGTCACCTGTGAAATGAATGGACGTTCGACGCGCAATTTCTTGCCCGAGTCTGTGATCCTGACTTGTATCAGCCTGCGGCCGTTCTGTCTGGCTGTTTCTCTGGCTCATGTGTTATTAAACTGGCGGTCTTAGGCATGGTGGTAGTAATTCTTCTTTTGTTTCTTGCGAGACTTGTGCGAGATCCGACCCAGGTCTTAAACTAGCGCAGCAACCCGTCAGGGCACTGAAGGATGTCACCTAGTAAGGGGATGAAACGTCTGTGATCGAACCTCCCAGCTCGGCCAACACGCCAATATCTGCAACCTGCACTACAAACCTTCAGTCAGACCCTGAGTGCGAGAGAGTGTGTGTGTGTCCGTGTGTGCGCGAGAAAGAGAGAAAGAGTGTGTATGTGTGCGCCCGTGTGGCGTGAGTGAGCGTGTGTGGGCGCGAGAGAGAGAGTGTGCGTGTGCGAGTGTGTGCACGTGTTGGAGCGAGCCTATAACTAGGGATGAGCCATCGAACAATACCGACCAGACGGACATGGCTCGGGAGTGAGGAGCTGCTTTCGAGAGGCTGTGAGCGACGTTATGAGACGGCGCAGCCTCGGGGTGTTGTCGCTCGTTGGTCAGGCGCCCCATGCCACCCGCCCCCGGCGTTGCGGCCTGTACCCACTTACCCGGTGCAGGCTTGGCGGTGATCACCTCGTCGTCGTCCAGACCACGGTTGTGATAGCGGGAGATCTTTTGTTCAAACTCCTCCACCAGGACCTGCAGCACGGCCGGTGGGGTGGGAGACAGACAGGCAGACAGTGAGACAGTGGGAGGGAGGCACAGTGGGAGAGGGAGGCAGTCAGCAGGAGAGAGACAGAGATACAGCGACCGCGTGTGCGAGAGCGAGACAGCACGCGCGAAAGGTCGGGGTGGAGTAGTGACGGGGCCAGTGAAGAGGTTTGGCCGGGTGCGGTACCTTGAGATCTGGCTTGATGCCCCGGTGTAACTTGCTAGCGATTCCTGCCAGGTGCTGGTAAACCACGTCATCTGTCAGTTTGTCGGCGAAGCATTCAAAGTTCTCCTGCAGCTTACGCAGCCCACGCTCGGAGGCAGGCAGCAGTGACAGGCAGAAAGCCAGGTCACGGTGCTGTCTCTCCAACCTGTCAGGTACCAACAGGTGGAAGGACGGAGACAGGGAGGTGGTGGGGGGTGGGGAGCAAGAGGGACGGAGGGACAGGGCAGGGC